CTTAATTTTGGATTTCCGAAAACTATATTTGACTTGGTCAACAATCTCCTTGCAAACAACTGGTTTTCAGAAGAATCTTAGTATCAGTTTCTGCACAGGAAACAAAAAGGGAACGAAAGCTGAAACGATTCTTCTAGAAACCAGTGGATTAGTAGCAAGGCTCAAACTTTAGTATTACACATTTTGAATTTCACTTTGTTTGTTACTTAAAGACCTTTAAAGACTAAGATAAACTTTGCTACACAGTTAAGAATATGAAAATGTGGGGAAATCTGAGACAGGGTTTCACTGGCTGAAGTGGTAGAAACTGCACCGTTATGTAATTGCGAATTTTGTTTATCAGGAAAAAGCAAAATTCCGGGATTTAGTTTTGTTTAAAGATCAACCTCTTATGTTCCTATTTCCACCATGAGTTAACGCTCGGATAAATTTTTAAGGAAGCTCTTACTTTTCAGCCAGATCAATACTATGGTCAGATGTACGTCATTCACATATCTAATTCAAAGCGTGTTCTCTTCGGTAATCTAGCTCTAATTGTACATGAAAGTCACAAAGTAAACTTGATCCACATTACTTTGGACTTCTTTTACACTTAAAAGTGCCCTCTTGAGGTAATTATAGTTTCGTGACATCGGAATCGAATGCAGATAGTATCAATGAAACCTCATTGCAGGTCCTGGAGTCTGTTCCCATTCAAACAGGGGCGTCTCTGCACGGATTTTTTGGGATTAAAATTAACTAAATATACAAACGCGAGAGCATTTTTCGATTCTCAGATATAGTAAAAAAATACCGGAAATGTTTTTAATAAAAATGAGTCCAAGGAATTAACAACTTTGAGACATTTATCAAATTTCATGGTTGTTCATTGTGGAGGCTGAAGTTTAATTGAGGAAACGTTTGAATGAAATCTGCAAACATCATAATCTATGGAACATAAGAGAAACCTTGCCAACAATTTTTGTTGAAAAAATCCCATTGAAAGTTTTTTTTGCGTCTATAAACCTTTATCTTCTAATGTGTATAAAGAATTCTAATTAAGAGGCAAGTATAGTGAAATCTCACCTTTATAAGTTCACAGGCCTTGAGGATAAAGAGAACACATTTGACGTCATAGCAGTCATTCTAGAAAAGAATATTCGTTTTCTTTTCCTAAGTATCTTTTATATCATTTAGCGTTGCTTTGGGTTAAGCTAAACCTTTAAGTTTGGAGGAATCTTTAGTCTCTTCCTCTTAAAAATCTCCCAATTGACTGTTTTCTGGTGTCCTTCACTACATTTCTAATAAAAGACGTCCTTAGAATTAAAGAGGCACTATAAAAATTGTCAGAAGTTTCCTTGTTAAAATCTAAAAGAGCTTGGAATCTCGCACGAAAAATTAAAAGGCTTTATCACTTGAAGATAACACATTAACGTCAGCGAATGATAACACAGTGTTCAGAAATATCCACATGTATCTGTAACAGGACCACGGGGAAAGTGCGGGCAGCGGCAGATAGGAAACCAAGAGGTTTTTCGGTTTTGCAAAGCCCAAGGATATTGGTTCAGTCTATGTTTGTGAGAGTTAATGTGGGAGCTAAACACAGCTACAACGCTCCATGATCCGCATTGACAAGGCAGGTAAACCACCAATTTCGTCAAGACAGACTTCTTTTATATTTTGCTACAATTTTACCAGTCTTTCAGCAAAAAGGAGGAAACTAAGTTCTTTTTCGCATGAACCTCGAAATTGTTTCTATTAATATAAACAAATTGGTAAGGATGGGATTAGCGCATCCAATAGCAAGGAAAACCCATCTTTTGCATTTAACAGTCAGTACTTGGAACTAATTTGCAATACTCGACTCGGAACTTGAAAAACTAACTAAGATCTTTCTGGAGAACGGCTATCCAGAAAATGTCATTTCAGTTTACATTAAGGAGAAGATAGGAAATTTCTCGGCTGACGTAAAATTTGGTCCTCAAAAGTGCCCGGTCCATCTAAAACTACCCTGGATCGATGACAGTTCCCTGCTTTTTGAAAGTCAAATAAAACAGGCCATTACAAATTGTTTCTTTGCAGTCAACCCACGTATTGTTTATAGTACAAAAAAGGCTCTTCCGTCCATTAAAAGGACTGCGTTCCTGCCACACAAAAAAGTTCCGATGTTTATGAATTTACGTGCCAGTGTGATTCTGGCTACGTAGGAAGCACTACCCAATGATTGGAGGATGGAATAAAACAACATGTTCCGCCTAGTATTAGAAACAAAACTCGTCCCCAAAGAGAACAGTCGCCTCGGTCTTGCAAATCTAAAATTACAACTAAAACCTACGATTCTGCTATCGGGCAGCATTTACTGGAAAACCCAGATTGTGCGAAAAACTATAATGGCGACATGTTTTGGATTATTGGTAAAGCCCGATCGTCGTTCCACCTAGCAGTTTTGGAATTTATCTACATAAGCACGAAAAAACCGCTACTGTGTAGACAAAAGGAGTAAGTTTTCATCTTAGGACTCCATTGGTGACATTCTCATTAGGCAAGCGCCACTGATTGGTCAACCTCAACAGTCATGTGCTTGTGTTTCTGATTGGCCTATTTTGATCCACAACTGGGTATATATATTTCCTAGCGTAGAGTTTTCGATCTATGTTCTGAAGTTTTAAACTCTGAAAAGTGTCAGCAAAAAGCTTTAGTTTACTAAATGTTTGCTTTTTTCAAAGCTATTTTATTTGCAATAAAGATGAAAAGATTCAATTTAGTGTAACTGCTGGTTTAATCTGAATTTTCATTTTTCCAAATTTCACCAGATAACTTTGCTAGTGAACTGAAATTACATAAAATGCTTCTTAACTTTCTGCTATAACAAGTATTTCATTACCAAAAGTTGCTACAAAGGAAATATATTCGAAGGGCTTTGTTCTCTTTTCCGAATGTCTATAGAGATTGTCTGCTTGATCAACATATACCTCTAAATCTTTGTATTTTGATAATATTGGTAAGCATTGCAGTGTAAATTATCGATACCTTAGGTGATTAGAATAGTACGCGTCCTCTGTAGTATATGAATAAAATTGAATTAAATTGAATGGAGTAGGTTCTGTAATACAAACAGATTTTTGTTTTTGAAAATCGGTTACCTATAAAAAACTATGAGCCGTATTCAAAGGTACTGAACGCAAAAACATATAGTTTCATGTATTTGAAGGACAGCGATTAAAATCTTATAAATTCCCCTCACAAACCAATTCATACGAATAAAATTGAATTGAATTGAATTGAGTAGGTTCTGTAGCATAAACAGAAGCTTACTTTTGTACTAAGGGCCATATCCAAGGGAATCAAATGCAAACACGTATATTTTCATGTATTTGAAGGACAGCGAATTAAAATCTTATAGATTTCCTTCACATACAAAACTGGCTTTAGGAAATCGATAGCTTTCCAAATATACTCAAATGCAGAATATAATCCTGGAGCTAAGCTATTTTGCAAGTAAGAAAGACCTGAAACTTACAGAGATTGACCAAGGTCAAAACGATTTGCAGTATGAATATGATTATGTAACTTTCGGTCCTCTCCAGTCAGCATCAATATAAAGAAACTTTGAATGGAACTTTTTAGGGTAATCTAAGGGATTGATTTGTGAGTCAGAATATTTTCAATTTAATCTTAGAAAGGGCAAAATTGGGAAAGGATAAAGATGCTTGGTATATTTGAAGCAGCGTGAAGATTTGTAATTACAGTTATCCACATCAACAGATTTTCTGGTTTCTTAATCTTTGCTTCCATTTTTCAGCCTTTTGTCTAGCTTCTAGGTTCCATTCAAACCGATTTGTAAAGAAGGGAAAGGCTCTTCTTGACAAAAATTTCTTTATACGATAATGCCTGCCGTTTTGCTTTAAGTACCCTTCTGTAAGCGTTGATAACTTTAGAAAAAATTTTGCATGCGTGTTTCTCAAACCTTATGAGTACATATCGTAAATATTTCAAATAGAATAAAATTGAGTTTTAGAATTTATACAAAATCAACTTACATTCTTCATTGCATCCTTTAACCCATTATTCACCTTCTTCTTTGACATGTGCAAATGCAGTCCTATAGTATACAAGATTATCAAGGACATAAAAAAATTCCTCTCCCTTTATTTGTATTTTCTTTATTTGTTTCTACTTAGCACCCGAAGGTAGTTTTTAGGACACTAGGAAGCTATGTTTATCGAGCAGTGTCTTGGTCCTTCCTCTCGATGTGACCACACCTCGTGATTTCTACGCCTGGGATTCGGAGAGCTGGCGACTCTCCTCACTCTGGGTGAATGTCTGGTCATGCCAGGGACTCGAACAACGGACCCTTAGGTCTGTAGTCAGCGCCTCTAACAACTGAGCCATCCTCGCAACTCCCAGTTTAACTATTTTTATTGTAATTATCATATTGCTATAAATGTCAGTAATGACAACTGAAAAACAGCTGTGGATGGTACCATGTGACCATTTTTAATCATTCCAAATAGCATGGCGCTCATGCGCTACGTGAGTCGCTAACGTCGAAATTGTTGGTTCGCTAAATATTATGCTCCCATCTTAGTTGCACGCAACAAAACACCGAATCAAATAGCAAACAAGTCAAGGTAAGTAACTATCAGTCTTGTGAATGGCAAGAAAAATGTTTCACAATCATATGCAATGAAAGGACGCAAATTAAAATAGAAAAACACTTTGAAATTACCTACTTCGAATACGTAACAACTATGCTGAGCAAGCTTTATAGTAGAAGTTCTTTCTTTTTAATAAAAACTTTCAAGACATAGGAAGTAGCTCAGGGCAGTACCTGAAACCTAAACGCACCTGAAACGATTCCATGACAATGGCCTAAACTATTTCACCAAAACATGGTGCTCTCGTAAATTGGTTACGCTAATCAGCAGAGCAGTCAGTTCATGAGCCATCTCAAAAGAATCATTATAGCTTTTTCGTGAATTGGAAACAAATATCATTCTGAACTGTATTTAGCTTTTTCTATGGGGAAGAAGTCTCTAGAGGTATTGATTTAATTGTAATTGTCTGAGCATTGAATAGAATCGATATCTATATTTTCTCTTACAAGATGCACGCGGGAATTCCCGTCCTACGCAGCCCCGTGCAATATAAAATGTGCGAGACTGACTTTTACAGTACCATTGCTTTTTTGCTTTGCCACAACATTGTCAACAAGAATGGCAGCAAAGACTGAAACAGACGGAGCAAAGCCAGAACAGGTGAAGTATAAGCATCCATCTTATGCTGTAATGGTGGAGCAAGCAATAGTAACATTGAATGAGCGTCAAGGTTCCACCAGGCAGGCGTTGTTTAAGCACATGACAGGCAAGTACCAACTAGATTCGACCGCATGTCAGACACACGCCAGCAAAGCCCTGAAGGCGTGCATGGAAAGCAACACGATTGCATCATCGACAGGAGATCTTAAAGGAAAGTTCAAGCTCTCCAAGGAGAGAAAGGAAGAGTTGAAGAAGCTTGAAAAGAAATTGGTAAAAAAGGCAGAGAAAGATGCAAGTGAAGAAAGCGGGAAAGTTGCCAATAAACCACCAAAACCTTCGCTCGAGAAGAAAAAGAAGGCCTCGGAAAGTAAAGAAGACAAGGAAAATGAACCAGTTAAAAAGGGAAAACAGGGAAAATCAACAGCCAAGGACAAAGAGAACGAAGAGGCCTCCAGTAAGGCCAAAAAGCCTACAAAAGAAAAGGAAGGGAAGAAGACTTTGAAAAAGTCAGCCAGCATGAGTAAGGTTGAAGAAATGCGAACCGAAGAGAAAGCGGCTGCAAAACCTAAAGGAAGAAAAAAGGCATCTGACAGCGAGGACATAAAAGATCAAGAAGAAGCCGAGAAAAAGGCTGCCAAAAGAGGGCCTAAGAGAAAAGCCACAGAGTAACTGAGCGGTTCATATGCCTCATTCGATGATTTGGATACGGTCTCATGGCTGGAGAAAGAATGTTTGTGTCAGGTTTGCAAGAGTATTATTCAAGGTCAATAAATCAATAGATACATTGATGTAAAAATAACTTTATGATGTTGCTCATTGAATTATCGAAGTTTTGCTGTTTTAAATGAAATTAATCGTTGGGCGTAATCTTAAAAATCGAAAATTTCGGTCTATCGATAGTGAATTTTATAGAACTGGCGAATTTTCTTAGAAAGCTTTTTTTACCTTTTTTGGAAACATATAGTTAATGTTCATGTTGATCAATTTCTAGCTTGTAAATAAGTATTCTTTAAAGTATTAATTTTATGTACATTTGAAAACATTGAAAATATTTTTATGAATTACGATATATAAACAATTTGTGGCTCTTGTAGTTAATTTTTCTCAGTGCCTGCTCATCAAGCCTTGATAATGTTGATTAATAAAACTTATAAAAATGGTAATTAAAACGTGCACATAATTAACAGAGCTTGGTTTAAGCGCATGCAGTAGAAATGGAAAAACTTCTAACACGCTGTAAGAGAGCACAATTAGCGGGTTGAAAAACAGCAAACTATGTTAAATTCAATATTGTGCTCACAATTTCAGAGTTTGTTGATCTGCATATTGACCAAAATCAATTCAGGTGTTGCTTATAGATTTTAAATTCAACTACGATATCAATAATAACCTGTATAAGTTGATACTTTGAGAAAGATTGTAGAAAATACAAATCTAGAAATAGATTCATACAACATAGACGGTATAAGTACTAAAGATTCATGCACTAAGGAGGAGCTCTATAAGTGACTAAACGAGAAGGAAAAATTTGAAAGAGTCAGCTTGGTTTACAACAATGTACAATAGCAAGTGATTGCTAAATTTACAGAAAGATTTAAAAAAAAGTATTGATACTTAAATGGTATACTTGCATCTACTGGAATGTTGTTTCAAAACCATGCTCGATAAACCAAGTTGTTGGAATATTAATTGCTATCATTAAACAATTTATAAAAACAATTTAAATGTATTATGAAGCATACAAGTAAAATATAAATTATTTAAATATTCGGTACACTGTTTATATGCACTATAATTGTTTCTTACGTTTCCCAGGAAAGTATCTTATGTTATTTCAGGCTCAAAATTCACTTAAATTACTTTCAAAATTTCGTTCTATTTATCAAAAAAGTTAATGGAACAATTTTGCAGAAGCTTCATAAAAATGAAACTAGAAGTTATAGTACTTTTGATACTCTGATGTATATAATCGATGTATCAAAGTACATAATCGAGATTCTATTAAATATATTCAGTATTAAGCTGCTACAATAGGTAGAACAATATTCGGCTTGACATACTGAAGGCAAGATAACTTTGTGCTTTTACTAATAAAGTTTGAAATTTTCAGTGGCGACATCCAATGGCATTCTTTCTTCTCCAAAGCTTGCTGTTTTCTAATATCATTATAGAAGGACAATTTTGTCGTTGATAAGAAACATTTTAACCTTCTAGGAAAAGTTTTATTATTTTGGAAAGGTATTTTAGTGAAAGGTATATCAGAAATAATTTTGAATTGTTTAAAAATATTTCACCCAATAACCAGCCCATTTTAATAGCAAGCTACACGTCATCATATTTTGTGACAACGGTGGATAAAAAGAAGCAAAGAAGGTAGCTATCCTACTTCATTGATCATCACAACTACTATAGCAGCCTTTGATATTTGAAGAAACAAGCCACATTGATATTTCGTGTATCGTGTCCTGTCAATGAAAGATACTAAAATGGGATAAAAACATTAAGATTATTTCAAAGATGGGCCAAACAGGATTGATATGGATATGTGCCGACATTATGAAAATTGCTATCGTAAAACGAGTCGATCATGGTGTTGGGTAGTTTAGTCGGTTATTGTAAAGAGATTACCAGAAAAGGAAAATCCAATAAAGCAACTTCTATATGAAAAAGTTTTTAAATGAAGAAATCTTCAGGATTAAGAGTTTTTCAGAAGAGAGAATTCGAGAAATTAAAATTTCTAAAATGAAGAATTTTCAGAAAAAAAGTTTTTAAGACGAAGGAAAATTCAGATGAGGGCTATTTGAGATTTTTTTTCTTACACAAATCTTGAACGAATTTTGTTTCAGTTTAATGTTTCATTACGCTCACTCTGTTTATACCAGTTACCGAGGAGTAAGTTTTACATTCGGATTTTACTCCTGAGATTGGTGTTTTTCTTGCAGCAACAAACAGTACAAAATATGCACGGCAAATGTCTACACAATAATATTTCTTTAATAGAATATTGAAAAATTCTTGAAAAAGAACTTATTAAAAAGACTGCGGTTTCACCAATTTAATGCATTATTTCAAATAATTTTTGACCATATGACCTATGTAAAAACAATCTTAAAATCTCTGGGAATGCAAGACTGTTTAGTTTTCTCTCTCCTCTTGGATTTTTCTTTATAAACCAGAAACAATTCTTCGGAGCTCGTTTTGAATTTGGACTCTTTAATCGTTTCAATGTTAAATGGGCATTTGAATACAACAAATAGGCCATCGGATGCACCCTTCGGTCACAAGAAAATTTTTGATTCTGAACTGAATAGAAATTTATTTTAACCTCAAGCTAGTTTTTTGCTCTGTCTGCTGTTCTTTTTGTGAACTATCACCCAATTTCCTTTTGTCAATTCTTGGAAAGATATTTGAAAAACTTCAATTTGATGCTATCTATAAGCATTTATATTACCATAGCCTATAACTCCAAATCAATCTGGATTTCGCCCTGGTGATTCAACCGTAAACCAACTGTTGTCAATAACGAATACGATATTTACTGCCTTCGAAAACGTACCTAGCAGGAAAACTCGAGCCGTCTTTCTTGACTTATCAAAGGCATTTGGTAGGGTATGGCACGAAGGTCTATTATACAAGCTGAAATGCAATGGCATGGGTGGAAATCTTCTTCGAATTATTCAAGACTCTTACACGAACGCAAACAACGTGTCATATTAAATGGGAAATATTCTAATTGATCCTTAGTTTCAGCTGGTGTACCACAGGGCTCAGTCCTTGGTCTCTTGTTCTTCCTCGTCTACATAAATGATCTCCCTGACAATGTTTCGTGCAGAGTAAAGCTCTTTGCTGATGATACGTCTCTTTCTTCCATTGCAAAAAATAAACATGAAACAGGCTCAGACTTAAATTGTGACCTTGAAAAGCTCAGAATGTAGGCATGGCAGTGGAAAATGTCTTTTAATGACGATAAAACAGAGGAAGTTATATTTTCTTGGAAAAAAACTACGCCACACCATCCTATTCTCAAATTGGGAAAAGATGAAATAAAATCGTGCTCAGAACACAAACACCTCGGGATGATTTTAGACTACAAACTTGATTGTCAATGTCATATACGAGAAGCAATTCTGAAGGCACGTAGAGGTATTGGGTTGATAAAATATTTTTCTAAATGTTCCCAGAGACGTTCTAGAACTCTATAAACTAAAAGTTTTGCTTTTTTCAAAGCCATTTTCAAAACAAAATATGTTTTTTCAAGGTTTTCAAAAAATCTTGCAGAAACTGCTGATCAAAACTTTGCCTTCAATGAATTCTCCAAACTTTTCATGGAAACGTACTTTAGACAGGAGGTCAATTTATGATTGCAATCAGTTTTAGTTTTATTCGAAGGTTAGTTTCCCTTTTGAAAGTTTTCAAGTTTTTGAAAAAATATCTTGGGGCAAATGGCCTACAGGGAAATTTCCCGGTGTCCCGGTGTCCCGGTGTCCCGGTGGGCCAGTCCGCTTCTGGTTTCAGACATGCATTTGACTGCCTTGCCCCTGTCTGTATTTGTAGTTTAGCCGATGAAAATAACGGACATTTTCTCCTGCACTGTCCACAGTTTGACACCTTTCGTTTGGATCTCTTTGAGCAGATACCAAACATCCCCGAAATGGACCTTACTTGCTTAGATGATAAATCCCTGTGCAATCTTCTTTTATACCAAAATCCTCGTTGCAATGTTATAGAAAATAGTATCATTATTGAGGTTACTATTTCATACATAAAAAATACGGGTCGGTTTGATAAGGGATAAATGGAATCAAAACAGCAGCAGCCTTTTGTGTCCTTTTTTCTATCTTATTTTATTTTTCCTTTTAATTTCAATCTATCTTTCCCCTTAAAGGTCTGTCTAGGGCTAGACGTTGGAAAGGTCTGTAGGAATAACGCAAATCACTGATCAATTCAATTATAATTCATCATTTCTGACGTCTATCTTAAGACACACCTTTGGTACGTTTTAATCTTTCTAAAATTATTGTATTCATTTCTCTTGTTAGTAAGTATAATTAAATGTTGTATATTGTAAGTACCATACATAGCTAGAACTAGGTGACCCTTTTTTTATTTGGCTATGAATGACACATTTTATTGAATATATTGTGTTCCTTTTGAATGCAGTTACTACTGAATACTTACCGAATACGCTTCATTTTCAGTGGAACGCCAAAATTGGAGACCCTTGAATACTCTAAGTACAGCAACAACTTATGCGCTTTCTAGCTACCCATTTTTCGAACATTTCAAATGGGTACAAAAAATGTATTCACAATAAAATTTTTGCAGAGTTTGATGGCGATTGTTACAGTTAAATGTTCTGTTTAAAAACGAGACTACAAACAGCGTTTTAGTTTTAGTCAAGAAAATGTGAACCCTTTCCGCATTCATGGCACATTCATTTAAATATCGGACGTCTTTTGCACTAAGGAAAACCAAGGGAACTGAATACAGAGCAGTGGGAACGTTAATCGTTAATTGATAATACTGATAAGATTTCTATAAACAAATTTAACAAAATGTCAGATCATCTTTTAAAACGGCCAGGTCGAGAACGCGGAAAACGCGGAACACGCGGGACACGCGGAAAAGTGAAATTTTGCTTTAAGCTCCTGGATTGCAAATACATAAACAAAGCAACAGACATCTTTAAGGAATTGAAATATAAGAACTTACTTTTAAAGGAACGAGAATTCCGCGTTTTCCGCGTCTTCGATTTTCACCCGCGTTGTATTCATAAGACAGGTTTGAATATCGTTGTATTCATGAAACTTTACCAAAGGCTTAATAACTCATTATATACCTCTCTTGTCATCAAATTAGCAAATATGGTTGATTATTAAAGGTTTCCGCGTTTTCCGCGTTTTCGATTTTCACCCTCGTTCAAAATCGAAAACGCGGAAAACGCGGAATTCTGATTCCTTCAAAAGTAAGTTCTTATATTTCAATTCTTCAAAGAGGTCTGTTGCTTGTTGTTTATGTATTTGCAATCCAGTAGCTTAAAGCAAAATTTCACTTTTCCGCGTGTTTGCGTGTTCCACGTTTTCCGCGCTTTCCGCGTTATCGATCTGGCCTTTTAAAAGCTATTTAGACATTTTTTCTTCGACAAAAGTCAGCGTTGGGTGGGACTCGGGCACAAAGAGAAAGTTAACGACGCTAAATCAACGCCAGCATTTCAATCAAGCGAACAAATAATGACACGGGATTATGATACTTAGATGAATGTGGGCCTCTAAATGACAAAAGTATATAGATGTTAATTAAAACATATCCTCGTGATACTCGTAAACAGGACATGTGTATGACTTTATGTAAACAGTTAGATTTATCTATTCAGTAAAGAACTGATAGTGAATCGATTCTTTAGCCTGCTAATATGCTATTTCTTTATGAAGAGAGGCATCAATTTGAAATGAATAGAAAGTTTATAAATGATGGCGAGATATCCA